TTTAATCGGGTTTGTTCACATATAACCGAATGGGTAATGAGTCAATGTTCGGGTCAGTTAGTATAGAGTCAATTAGTGTGGTGTCGTTTAGTGTGTTTTACATATTTAATTAATTTAAATAAAAAACAGCAGTTTCTAAAAGAGGCAGTTATGGGTAGTTATTTTCTGGAAGTTGTATTAGTTAGTAATAGATGTGTTGATTAGTGTCAATAGTTGTGTTGGTTGATGTCAATAAATATTCCAGGAACATAGCATTCCTGTATGTAGTTCACAATCAATAAAAATTCTATTCTGCATACCAATCTGTTCTTCCTATCAGTTTTCTAACATGGAGCAGTCATTTCAAGTTTCTCCATCGAATTTCATCTGGCCCATTCCCTGCTGATATGTGTTGGGGTTAGAAGAATCAGCAAGTTGGCCTGTCGTGAAGCCTCTCTAGGCCGCAAATAAAAAAGGACAAAAAAAGTCTTTGATCAGCATATAAAGATGAGACTTTAAGAATAATTGCATCTGGGTGAACTAGAAAGGCCAATTCATACGTCAAAATCCATTGCTTCATATCTAGTGTCAAGCAGCATCAGTTGCAAGCAAATTGCAGAAGAGATTACATGGGCAATAAGAAATATGTTTCTTATTGATACAGCTATTTCAAAACTGATAGAATTTAGGATGGGGTAAGGATCACTGGACTGGGCCATAAGGCACTTGAGTTGAACCACATTAAAAGATTGAATCCAATCAATTAATTAGTTTAACTCAAGAGCTTATATACCCATTATTTTCTTCACACTTTTCCGATGTGGGATACTCTTTAACACCCCCCCTCAAGTGGACGACCGGGCCATTTTGAATCTAACCGGTTGACCACTTGCAAATGGACTTCCATCCCCTTGATTTTTTTTAGCGCGAACACCTAAAGGACCACGAACCGCTGGATATGGACTTCCAGACGAGCAATGGTGTTAAACAGGCCGTTGGGTACATACTCCATACAGACAAATGGGCTAAAGACAAATGGGCCGCTAGGAATGAACGTCTAGACAGACACCTTGACAAACGAGGTGGGTCAAAACCTGCTCTGATACCATGATAGAATTTAGGACTGGGTAGAGATAAATGTACTGGGCTATAAGGCACTTGAGTTGAACCACATTAAAAGATTGAATCCAATCAATTAGTTTAACTCAAGAGCTTATATACCCATTATTTTCTTCACACTTTTCCTATGTGGGATACTCTTTAACAAAAACTATACCCCAATGGCTTCTTTACTTGTTTATATCACAAACGTAGTACTACCTCTGTCCCAATCAGTTTGTCGTATTTGACTTTTCTTGTTCTTTTAGGTGAACGTTTGACTTTTATTATCTAACCTAATAAATTTGAAAAATAATTATAAAATAAAAAATTATAAATGTATTTTACTAAAGTACTTGATTTTTTATAGTCAAACTCGACGGACTTTAATCATCAATTAAATAAAATTTGTATAGTATGTTAATACAAAAAAAAATTTCATTAGATTTTCACAAAATGTATTGTATTAATTACAATACAAGTTTTATTTAATTGACATCAAAGTGTCCAAAAAGTCAAACTGAACAAATACTCTGGGACTTCAATCATCTATTAAATAGAATTTGTATAGTATATTAACACAAAACCAATTTTATTAGATTTTCACAAAATGGATTGTTTAATTACTATACAAGTTTTATTTAATTGACATCAAAGTATCCAAAAAAGTCAAACTGAACAAATACTCTAAAACGGATAAAGAATTTTGCAAGACAACTAAGGGTCTCTTGGAAACATTGTACTTTTTCGGCAGGGGTAAGGCCTGGATTTGTTCTTTTGTTGTTGTTGCAAGACAAATCTTTTGAAACTGTTTTCATAATATCATTCAATATATTTTTCAATTAAATAATGGTAAAAATTAAAAAATGTAACATTTAATCAAGAAAAGTCAAACTAGACAAACTCTTTGGACAGAGCTAGAAATATGGAGCAAGGTATCAATCTCTTAGTAGTACAAGTTTCTGTGACTCGCACAGATTCTTTTGAATGAACTACTCCATCTGTCCCAAAAAAGACCCCTTATTTCGTTCTTGGGACATCCCAAAAAAGCCTCTTTCCATTTATGGAAAACTTTGGGTGGCTCACAATCTTTCTCTCTCCTCTGTGTCACTTTCGACTACACATTTTCACATTTCTTAAACTTTGTGCCAAGTCAAATTGGGAGTCTTTTTTTGGGATGGAGTATATTATAAGCATCCCCTGCTATGTGGGTTTGGGATGGTGTATATTATAAGCATCCCCTGCTATGTGGGTTTACTTGTGATACCTGCACTGTTTTATCACATAATGATTGAAATATTGAAGTGAGCTAAGATCAATCTTCATGTAGGCAATGGAAGCTGTACAGAAGGTGTTGGACATGACTAATAAAAAAAGAATTGATATTGAATTACTAGAGAAGGTGATGAAGGACCTTGAAATGCGTGTTTCAACTGCCCATTCTGTGTCTCCCGCATCAAGCAATGTTACTAACAATAACATTGCTGATGTCATATCTGATGCAAACCATGCTGACAAAATCTTGACTTCAGAAGCAGGGTTTTCATTTGAACCCGAAACGCAACACTTAATTAATGTTCTTGGCAAAATCTTGCGACAGGTAAACCAACTTTGGTTCGGTCCCACTTGTAGTTGTTCATTCCTGAAAAATGATACAAATTCCATTCTTTATTGTTGAAAATGTCATTCCTGCATAATGGTTTAAGTGCATTTTTGTAAAAACACACTACAGTACACACGAGTCTTAAGATTATGTCGGCACAAATACTGAAATTTTGCAATTTTCAACACATGGAATTGAATAGTTATACATAGCCACATAGCACTTTGACCAAATTGAATATGTATCTGTAGTACAGAGACTGGCTACACATTTAGACGGAGGGTCCTTTTTGAAGAAAAACATAAAGTACTGGACTAAATTGAGTATGATTTTCAGTACAAGGACTAAATTGAATTTGTTTTATAGTGCAAGGAATTCTCAAATTTTTTGCTAGCAAGTAATCCTGAAAAATTTTGTTTCCTTGATCTTAGATGGTACAAAGTGGCAGTAGTGCAGAGGTGTGGGGTTTGTATGCTAGGTGGCACAAACTCAAAGGAGATTTGACAATGTGTTCAGAGGCCCTCCTGAAGCAAGTCAGATCGTACCAGGTATCACATACAAATTCTAATAAAATTTGTCATTTTTACCCTTTTTAATGTTGTATTTCTGCTCTATTATATGGACATTTGTTTGTTGTTCTCTACCTACTTTATATTCCCAGTTACGGATTTGCAGTATCTTGTTGATTACTGGAGTACTTTAGAATACAGTCAGGAGTCAATCTGAGACTAACATTCAGAAAACGCAGCTCAATATTCTTATGTGATGTGATGTGTTTGTGAATTTTCTTAAGATTCTTGTTATAATAGCTGATCTCTCCTTTTTAACATATAAGATTATATGGTGCAAGATTACAGAGAGAATGAGATAATCTGTATATTCCTTGTTAAGTGAAAGAGTAACATGCAAGAATATACTCCCTCATCCGTATTTTGTTGTCCCCTTTCTAAAAAAATCACATTTTAAAGAAATGACTCAAATGAGTATAAAATGTCAAATGAGTTATTCTTTCATTCATGTTAACTATGCTCATATCCTATCTCTAGGATATTGTAGATGATTCATCATAATTTATTTGTTGAATATGGAAAGTAGACAACTAATCTTGGACAAACGAAAACAAGAAAGTGGACAACTAAATTCGGACGGAGCGGTTATAAGAGTAGAATCTTATTTAGCTCCAAAGTTTTCCTAAGGCTATGTTTGGAGAAAAATGAGAAGGAAGTGAGATGGAAAGAGAAATAGGGAGGAAATATAAAAATTTCCTCTGTTTGGTTGGAGAGAAATTAAGAAGTAAAAAGGAAATAAAAGGTAAATTGAAAGTAAGTTAAAAATCCCCCCCCCCCCATATGGAATGAAATTGGGGGGAAATTTATTTTTTCTTTCCCTTTCATTCTTTTCCTAACGTTAGTCATTAGATCTATTTCTCGCTACATCGGACTCAACCTCCGTCTTCTTGCCTCCCGCTCCCCAGAGTATTTGTTTTCACTTCAATTTTAAAATGGAAATTTCCTCGCCAATGTTTTCAAGTTTGGCCGATTATAAAATATTACTATGAGATTCTCTTTTGCACCCAATACTCCAAAAATCAAAGGATTTTACATTGCTAAGCGAGCCTGGCTGAGTCGGATTCAGGCAATAACATGCAATTATTTTGGCTGACATGTCATCAAAAATGATGAGTTGCCTTGTTTGAAGTGCGCTGAAGCTCTCAGATTGAGTTGAAAATAACTTTCTTCAAACACTGTAAATCGTCTATAACTTGAAAATAAATTTAAATATTTTAAGTGTTATTTTTATTATCTTTATTTAATATTTTTAATTAATATAGATGTATTGCTCCATATATCAAAAAAATATTCAATAATATTATAATGATTTTGTTCTGTGTAATTGTAAATTTATTTCAACATGTACTTTTTCTGTCCTGATTCCTTCCAACCGAACAGTGGAATTTAATTTCTCTTGAATTTTCTCCCTTCTAGTTCTTTCCTCTCCATTCTCGTTTAAAAATATCACTTTAAAATTATTACCCAATTTAACATGCTGTGATTTGGGTAATCAATAAGAAATAGTACTTTCCTCCTTGAAAATGCTGTGTTCAAAATTTGCTATTTGGTTTGCAAATTTTGTGGTTTCAAGAATGTGTTCTTATTGAGTTTTTGGGTAACTGTTTGTGCAATATGATTGAAACTGAGTTTGGTAGAGTGCAACTTTGTCTAAACTCCAAAGTAACAAAACACCTAACGCTCAAATCGTGAAGCCATAATTTGTAGCTTGATTCTAACATGTTTTTGAGAATTGTGAGCTTTCCCTAGACGTTCTTAAATGCTCCAATAGTTATATGAATTTATCTTCTATTTTCCCCAAAGTGCCAAGTTTTGTTTTAGTTATTGCACATCTACACTTCAGTTATGCGCTGTCATTGTCTCTCTTCTCTTGTTCAGGGATCAGACTTATGGAATGATAAAGATCGATTTGCCAAGTTTGCAAATGCTTCAGTGGAACTATGTAGGGTGTATATGGAACTTGCTAGCCGGAATGCTAGGAAAGACGAGTTGAATGCAGCTGAGAGGCACTTGAAGAGAACTATTAATCAGGCAAGTTCTTTATTTTTATCACACTTTCATCCATTTCTTGCACCTAATCAGACTGAATTATCTGAAAATATATCCAAAGAATATTTCTTAAATAATTATTTTAAAAAAATAACATTAAAAAAATGCATCATCGGGTATTCGTGTTATGAGCTGCATTTTTTTTGAATGTAGGCGGCGAATACATTTTCAGATAGTAAAGAATATCAAGACCTAGTGGCCTGCCTTGGTGAAGTGCAGAAGGCATTGCAAACATAGGGCTTCTCCACTTTGATGATCAAACCCCCTTTGCATCCACAATGGACATATTGATTCTCCAGTTTCTTTTGAGTTTATAAAAAGAATACCTTTTTTAATGTATTTTTTGGGGGTTTCCTGCTATTGTGAGCTAATTATTTTACTTGTATCATTTTGTATTAAACATAATTATTTCTCCTTGGTTTATGATCACTTTGGACATACAAGAGGATTTGGCTTAGCCAGCAGTAGGAAATGTTGTATACAGGCAGTGGCGGACCCAGTATAATGCAGCTGTAGCAATTTATATTCATTAAATGCAGTTTTATTGTTTTTACTTCCTCCGTCCGAATATATAGTGCATTTTTACTATTAACATGGCAAAATTTTATTCACTTTCTTTCTCTATTTTCGTTAGCAATTTAATAAAATAAAGTATTATTGTCAGTATTAGTTTTGTAGATCTTTTGATGTAGTATTTTAATATATTATTTTTATTTTTTAACTTTATACCAACTGTCATATAAAATAATTTGAAAATAATATCAGTCAAACATCGTAAACCCAAACAAGCACTATAAATTGGGACGGAGGGGATTTTACATATTTAGTCCTTACATATTAAATATTACTAATTTAGTCTCCAATTATTATATTATTTTTACGAATGGTCCTTTGTTAACATTTTTCTTAAGAACATGGATAAAATTGTGGGTGGGGTTCCTATGACATTGGAACCCAATGTCATGGGATGATCCGGGAGCGCTCCGATGCCCTGTTCGTAAAATTGGCGTTTCCTACCCCCCCTAACCCCCTCGGTAAACCCTCTCACCCCACCCCGACCCGAACACACCCCCCACCCCCGTCAATTGCACCCCACAAGTTGATTTTGACATTGGAGTCAAATTTTGACTCAAAGTGAAAAATCAACTTGTGGGGTGCAATTGACGGGGGTCGGGGGTTTACCAGGGGGGTTAGGGGGTAGGAACTGTCAATTTTACGAATGGGACACCGGAGCGCTCCCGGGTCATCCCATGACATTGCCGGGCAATATCATGGGAACCTTGGTGTAAAATTGTATATTTATACCTTTCTCTCCTCAATTAAGCTTCCTCCCTCCTCTCGTACTTTTTCCCAAACTCGTTGCTGAGTTTGAAGCTCTAAACCCAAAACTAAAATGATCATTCCTTTTCAATTATTAGTCTTTTTGGTGGAACCTAAAATCAAAAAAGCAATAAGTTTTATGGATGAGTTTTATCGGTTAGTCTCAATAAATTGCAAAGAAAATAAAAATTAAAACTCATACATGAAGATTATTGGTTTGAAATTTGGGTTCCACCAGTTAGACAAACAATTGAGAGAAGAGTAATGATTTCGGTTCTAGGTTCAAAGCTTTAAACTCCACGACAGGTTTGGGAAAGGAGTGGTAGGGGAGGGAGGGAGCTTAATAGAGGAGAGAAAAAAGTATGAATTTACAATTTTATCCACGTTCTTAATGAAAATGATAACAAAAGACCATTCGTGGAAATGAATGTAATAATTAGGAACTAAATTAGTAATATTTGATATGTAGGGACTAAATATGTAAAACGACCTATAACTGAGGACCTTTTCTGGAATTTAATCTTCTTTTTATGTTTTTGTTTTTTCCTTGAGTCCAAGTGGTGTAAAAATACTCGTTTCATTCACTTTCTTTACTTATTTTTAATATTCACTTGATAATATAATATAGTCATGTCACCTCTTATTTTGAAAAAAAATAATGTATTATATCTTTTAAATACGTAAATTTTATATCTTAATTCCACTCAAATTTTCTTACTCTGTATAAATTAAATAAAAAATAACTTTAGTCAAATATCGTTCTAAAATTGAGATTGATAAGTAAGGTAGAATTACCTCAATTTTAGATAATATTTTCCCCAAGAAGTTCTAACACTTACGTTCTTTGTTTCAAAACCCAAATTAAACTATATGTTTACTATTCACAGGATTAATTTTTTATCTTTTTTTCTTTGTTAGTTATTTGATAAAATAAAATAAACATTTCATCACTAGTTTTGTAGATGGGCCGTTGGGCATCCCCGTCTTCCCTCAAGAGCACAAAGCTTGTCTCCCTAGGGCTGGTAGGGGTGTGCACAATTTGGTAAACCGACCAAACCGAACTAAGTACGTACCGAAATCGAACTAAATAATTCGATTTGGTATTTGATTCTCATATTTTGAAAAAAATTGTTTTCAGTTCGGTAGAAAAATTGGAGCCGGTATTTCGATAAAAACTGAATACCAAAATTATTTAATACTTTTGTATAATTTTACCCATTTCTACTGAATCTAATACCCAATATCTAGCCCAACCTTGAAATAATGAATATACAACCCACTAATTTTAAGTCCTACTCGTATTATCTAAATTTGGAGTTATTAAAGATTCGAAATCATGAAAGCATCATATTTATAATACAAGGAAATGTTTTTATTTTTCAGAATGGACAATTATGCTATTTGTATAAACTATTTTGTTTATTTTATGTAATAGTTCCAATTGTGCTATATTATTTTAACTTTGGAGTGTGTAATGAACTTATATGTAATGGATCTATTTGTGCATTGTTATTTTCAATTTGGAGAATGTAATGGATTTTTTAAAGTTCAAATTTTGGTTTATGTTCGGTTTTTGATAAAACCGATAACCAAACCGATTTAATTTGGTTTTACCGAACCGAACTATTTGATTTTGTTTCGGCATTTGATACAAAAAATAAATTACTGAATTTTTGGTTTACCGAATTTTTGGTTCGGTTTGGTTCGATTTTACCGAATGAACGCCCCTAAGGGCTGGCGCCCAAGTACATATACAATTTCTCCCCTTTGATTGGTTTCGACAAGACCTGGGATAAGTCATCCGTGTGGTCAGCTTCCTGCTTGCTCTTGACGATCATGCCGCCCACGTACGCCGTCATTGACTTCCCCAAAACCGATTAAAACACCCATCCTTGTGTAGGTTGCTTCACTTTCTTCAGGCCAAAGGCCATCAACATGAAACATTATATCCCTCCAGGGTAAGGAATGATGTCTTTTCCGCGTCATCCTCATCCATCACTCTAAATGCGTCCATAAAAGACATCACTTCGCACCTAGTCGTTTCGTTGATCATTTGATCGATGTTGGATAGGGGAAAAGGATCCATTGGATAGGCTCGGTTCATATCAGTGTAGTCCACGCACATCCTGAATGTCTGCTCTTTGGGGGCGAGCACAACGTTTGCCAACCATGTGGGATACTTGATCTCCTTAACATGTTCTTTAGCTTGGAGCATGTTCCCTTCCTTCTTGACAAAGTCCCTCATGTCTTTGCTCAAATGTCACCTTCTCTGCTTGACGGGTTCTGCCGTTGGCTCCACTACGAGTAGGTGAGTGATCAAGGACCTACTTATTCCGGGCACGCCCTCCACAACTCAAGAAAAAATAATGAAGTTATCCCTCAAGACCTGAATGATTCCATTCCTGAGCTCAGCCCCCATGTTTATGCTGAGCTTTATCTTCTTCTCTTGATGGTCCTCCATGATGATGACCTCTTCTACGTTCCCGACTGGTTTTGCCCGAGGTCTTCCCTTTTCTTCCTTCAGTAGAGCCGTGACGATGCAGTTTATCCACAGATCTTGGGCGTCCATCTTCTTCACCTACTTCTGGTAGCAAAGCCTACCTAATATCTGGTTTCCCCTGCACACCCCAACTCCCGTGTCAGTTGGGAATTTTATGCAGAGGTACCTGATAGAGGTGACCGAGTCCAGATCCTTTAAGGCGGGTTGGCCGATGATGAGATTGTGGGACCCGAGTAGCTAGACCACCATGAACTCATCTAGAATCGTCCTCTTGTGCTCTCCATCCCCAAAGTTGACCATCACTTCAATCAAGCCTTCCGCATCAATGATATGTGAACCCAGACAAAGAGGTTCTCACCTTGCGCAGGAGTTCCTTCTTCAACCCCAGCTCTTCAAACGTCTTCATGTTTATGTTGACAGAGCTTCCATTATCAACATAAGAATGATGTATCACTACATCGTTGATTTCGCACTTGAGGGCCAGAGCGTCTCTATGCGGGGAAGGGATTTGTGGTGCATCCATGGGACAAAAAAGAATTGGTTCCAGCCTTACCATCTTGGATTGCCCAAGTGCGCTGCTGATCACATCGCCTACATAGGTCGAGTGCACCCATTTCTTCCTCTGCTTTGCGGAGTCACCTCTAGTGTTACCTCCGTAGATCATGAGGTTCTCTTCAACCCTATTCTGCTTGAGTGAGACCTCTTCTTCTTTGTCACTCAGAAGGCCAATCTCCTTCCTTTTCTGCGATGCCTCTGCCGCCTTCTTTCTGCGGTTGTCTGCTGGTTTCTTTTCATTGTCTTTTCGCCAAGTATTCCTCTTCTTAACGAATTGGCTCAGGTGCCCCGCCTGGATTAGGTTCTCAATCTCCCGCTTGAGAACCTTGCATTCATTTGTGACATGGTCGGCCACTATGTGAAATCTGCATTAGGGGCCATTATCCACGACGTAGACTAGAGCAAACCTTGGGTCATACTCCACCAAACCCTGGTGCTCAACATAATCCAGGATTGTGCTCAAAAACACTCACAAAATATGTTTAAAACCCTTTTATAATAATTTTCAAACATCCAAAAGGTTTTAAACAAAATTGGAAATGATTTGGACAAAAATGAAAAAATTGTCAAAATGGTCATAAGGTACCTAGGTACCGTGAGGGGTACCGTGAGTTAGCCAGAGACGGGACCCCCTACCGTAGCACGGGACCCCCCTACCGTATGGACGGGACCCCCCTACCGTGTATAGGTACCGCCAGAGAGTTTTGGCCGGAGAAGAAAACCTAGCTACCGTACGGGACCTAGCTACCGTGACAGGGTACCGTTACCGTTGGAACACTATTCCTGATTGCTGATTTTTGAATTAATTCAACTCTAATCACCTCCTAACGGCTAATTAACATCTTCCACTATAAATATAGGCCTAATACTTCATATTCATAAGTTTGAATTGTATTTTTGAGAGAGTATACTTTCTTTCTACACCGGCTAAGTTTTGTTCTTCATTTTTATATTCTAGCCGTTGTGTAGAATCCTCTTTCGTGTTCTTCAAACACACCTTCTTACGGTCGAGAATAGCCGTTAAATTCTCACGTTGTAACGGTCAAGGATAGCCGTATAAATCCTTGGGTAAAGGTTCAAGGATAGCCTTTGAAATCCTTGGGGGAACGGTAGAAGATAGCCGTTAAATCTTCGTTGTAAACGGTTCGAGATAGCCGTGGAGAAATCTCAGAGTGAATCCTATTGGCAAGGGTTGTTTGCCAAACTAGTGCGGTGCTTTGACGGAGTTCAAGAGACCGGGACTTAGTGGATTCGGAAATCCTTGAGGAGGAGCCTCGAGGTACTGGAGTAGGGAGTTCCCGAACCAGTATAAAATCGGTGTGCATTTTATTTACGCTTTTATTTCTGCGTTTTATATATTGCTTCCGCATTTGCCAACACCGTTTTTATTAAACTCCGAAAAGATTTTAAAACGCCTTATTCACCCCCCCTCTAAGGCGTGGGCACAACGACTAAACCGACTAACA